CTTAGGATGCTTTACTTTATGTCTGGCATCTACCATATATATTTTCAATATTATTAGGAGTTATTTTCTTTGACTATGCACATTTTCTTCACTTTGGGGAAAGAAATAAAATTATTTTCCCACACGATTCATGAAATAATGCTGTTGAAAACTACCTAAAATAAGAATAAATTTTCAAATTTTAGTATGTGGCTATTGTATCAGAATGAGTCAGTATAATTGATACCTTGAGAGTTTCCTCTGGCCATTGTTGAAGCCTCACCATAAATATTCAGTATGGAAGAAAATTATTGTGTGGACAAAAAATTAGCAACCACTTAAATACATAATGTTCAAAAGGATTCTGCTCAGTCTATGGCCCCATTGAAGTAATGCAATGTGAAATCAAGATGGGATTATATACCTTACTATATAGGAATCTTGAGAATTGCAGTCTTGGAGCTCTCCAGGGAAAAGACTCCCTTTGAGGGTAGTCACATTTTATTCATGAAGATGCATTTAAGATGCACAAGAATCTTGCCTTATGTGTTTCAAAGCACATAGAAACTTCTTCGTAATTGCTTCCATTCTATCTCTTCTTTTTTTTGTTAAACTATCACTTAAATATATATGTACAATAAGTTTAATCCATTTACAGTTATTGTAAATGTTTATTTTTAATTGCCAAATTTAAGAATTTCATACATGTATACAATGAAATTTCATATCTACCCATCTGTCCTTCAGTTTCCTCTCCAACTTTCTGCATGAGTCCCTTAATACACTCCCTCTCAACTTCATTACTTTTGATTTTTTAATAACTCACTAAATCCATAGAAGTATTTGTATGGGTGTGGAGAATGGGAAATATAATGTCACATTCTCACAAAATAATGATTCTCTCTCCTATGGTAACTATCAGTTTCCAGTAGCTACTGACTAAGAGGTGAGGCCTGGAGACCATCTAACAAAATTGGTCTTGTGTAGGATTTTAGCCACAGATGCTGAGTTCATGATTATATTAACCATGTCATGTCCAGAAGATATTATTTCACAGCCCTCCTTCCCATCCTCTGGCTCATATATTTTTTATAGCACCTATTTAACAATATTCACTGAGGCTAGGTAGTGGTGGTAGGATTAATGTAGATAGATGTTCCATTTAGGCCTGAAAACTCAGTGGCTTTTCTGTATTGACTGTTCCTGTCCATTGAAAAGAGAAGTTTCTCTAAGAGAAATTTTCTACATACACTTTTTTTCTTTTCTTTTCTCCATTTCCATTCTTGAATTCTGGTCACTAAATATGTATTACTAAAAATTTTAGATGATTAATAATCACTATTCCTTTGTTCTTTTATCAAATAAAATTTAAGGAGGAGAACAAACACCACATTACTTACTATCAGTTAATGTCACTGTCACATCTACTAGCTATGAGGTTCGTAGTAAGACTAGGCCTCAGGTGTTCACATAGATTAGCCACTCCTTAGTGAAAGCCTGAATTTCCATCCTATGCCTTCCTTAATGCCTTTCTCACTCCATCATTTCTGTTATCAACTCCCAAATAGGCATATGAACTTGAATTACTGACTTTGGGTTAACATCTAAGGACCTTACCTAATTCATGTTACAAAACTTAGGCCTCTTGAATAGATTTCCCATATGATTAAATTTATCAAGGAAAGAGGGATTTTTTTTTCTCATAGGAAGTGGATGGAATTCCTTAGATTGATAGCAGAAGTTGTCTTCTGACTTCCAACCACAGTAGCATGTGAACCAACTCCCATCCACTCAGAGAACCTGTATATTCATGGGTGCAGACAAATAGGAGTGGTCTCATTCCTAACTCAGGAAATACTGGCAGTTGACGTCAGTTGTCGGGGAAGGGAGAATCATTCCCCTTTGGGGCTTAGACTATGGTACATTGCCAATGCTCTGGTTCATGACTCCACACCCAAGTACAAATGAGCAGAATTAATTAAATTTCAAAGAAAGTGTGAGGGCATGGAATTTGATCATGTTCGGGGAGATCTAGGGAAGCTTGGAGAGAGGGAGTAGGGGATTGATATAAGAATTTATTATGTATGTGTGTGAAATTCCTAACCCTAGCCCTAACATTATCTTCTCCATCACATCCTCCTAAAAACTTCTTATTCTCTTCTTTTTGAAACTAAGTCACCAAGTAGGGGATATCCATTTAGTGCTTTTTTTGCACAAGTGTTACACTGAATCTTGGGGAGATTAAATTGGTCAGCCAAGACAACACTGCTACATGAAACAGGAACAAGTTTTGAAGGTAAACCCCAGAGCAAATACAGATGGATAACTTTTCTTGACTGCATTGACAAATGTAGAATAAAGAAAATTCTACTATGGGACTTCAAATCAGAGGTAATTATATAAAAATGAGATAGAAACACATCTTTTTTTCTTTTTTTGAAATTATATCATTACATAATTTATCTCTTCATTTTCTTTCCTTCAAGCCCTCCCACATCCTCCTCCTTGTTATTTTTCAAATTCAATTTTTATTGATTATTGCTACATGTAAATATATATATATATTCATATATATATGCCTAAATATAACATATATGTATTCCTAAATATAACCTAGCCTATTTAATTTTACTCATGAATGTATGTTTTTAGGTCTGGTGATTTGGTATTGGATGACTAATTGTGTGTTTTTCCCTGGACAAGACTATTTACCCCACTCTCAGGATTCCTTAGTTTCCCATAGCTTCTTTGGTTCAGTTGAGGCCTCATGGTCTTTACCTCATTCACATTTGTATGCTATTGTTTTCCTTGTTTAGATCATATTTAGGCAGTCATGGTGAGACTTTATGAGTGTAGCTTCAGATTTTAATGAGAAGAAAGAACTTACTTCTACTAATTAACTATAAGCATAGTACAAAATAAGATGACTTTAGTTAAGAGAAACAGTGTATAATTTAAGTAACTACAAAACAAAAGATTGTATGTTCTCAGAAAAACAAATAAATGATAAACATATAGGGACATACTAATTTCCCTGACTTACACATTGATCACTACACAATGTATATATGTGTCAAAATATCACATTCTTCCTTACGTTTTGATGAATGTATATAGTTGTTACATGCTGATGAATTTATAAAAGGAAATGACAAAGAAAAATCTTAGAGGAGATCTGTGGTGCTAAGACAGTGCATGTTTTATTAAAACTAACTAGAAGGAAAGAAAAAAGTGACCCCTAGAACTATGTGACAAAACCAGAAGCTCAGGGTGGGTGCCTTGCCCTGGGTGGGTGCCTTGCCCTGAGATTCTAGTTGGATTTTATTTTTCTTTCTGAACTTACTATGGCCCAACTGGTCTGATAATTAGAGTCACTTCTTTCTAAGCATCTATTCCCTCATGTTCTCATAAGGACTCTCCATCAAACTTAAACTTTTTGATGTCTCCACTAAGGTCAGAATGAATGGCCAACATGGGATCACAAGCCTCCCGAGTGATCTACTATCATACCCTGATTCCCCTGATACATATGTGGAGTTTGTAATCTCCACCACGGTACTGGTAAAAGCACAGGCCAGAGTTCTGTTCTACAGCAGAGCTTGTGCAGGAGGGAAAGGAGAGCATTTCTCACAATACTTTCCTGAGTGTGGATGCAGGCCAATACTGGGCATGATGGTTTTCATACCCCATTCCCTTTGTACATTTGCCTGTTCCTAGAACAATGGTTAGTATTAAAATCTTCAGGGATAGCAATTTAGAATAGTAAGAGAAACAAAATCCAGCCATTTTTACTTCCCAAGTGAAAACACAATAAAAAATAATGGCAATTAGTTTTGAATAGGCCTACTACAGACACACCGTGAACTAGTAATCTTCTCCCTTTTGTTTCATTCCTTTTTTCACCATAATACACTGCTTTATATTATTCATGTTTTGATGCTGAGAATCAGAAGATTCCCTTTAGAAGCTTGTAAAGTGATTGCTATACTCAAAAGAAATAGGAGGAACCTGTGAGTTAGGAGAAAAATCACACTCAGCTTGGCTCTCCTTATATATCATCTCCTGCCTTGAATAAGAACGATGTTTACTGCTGAGAATTAGTATGTCTCAACATTCCTGAGTTAGAGGTTTCTGTTGGGTGGAGGGACTTTCATACTTTTCCCAGTAGCTTCCATCTATCATTTGAGCCACTGTGGAGGTAAGTAAATCAAATATGCTATGCAATATCACTTGCTAAAGAGCACCAAGTCTCTATGGAAGAATGAGAACAATTTTATTATTACCCTCTCTGTTCTCCCCAAACACAAATCATAAAGACATGGTTGATGGTGAGTAAGGGAAATTATTAGTCTATATGGAAATCATTGTGACATGGAGAGAAAGAAAGTACAGTTTTGCTCACCAATTTTGAAAAATTATTCCCTTATATTTTGCCCAGCTTAAGTATATGAAGATACTGTGCACTTTTCTCTAATTGCTAATATTTAAAGGGAAGAAGAGCTAACTAAGGGTTGTCATTAATTAGACAGTAAAGCTGGGTGTGCCTAGATCTGACTCTTAGACCACTGTATATTTTTAAGATATTGGAAGATATATCAGACATGTGAAATCCATTTTCTAGACCTTATGTTCATATTCAAAAGCGCATATATTCTTCACAGTGTTTGCTGCTCATTAGACTTTCAATGTCTAGTCTTTACAAAAATGCATGTTAGCATTACAAATAATGATAGTGAATGTCATATGGTTTAGTGCAGTATGCATCACCCTATTTAGTGGAATTGAGGTCCACAAATATATTACTCATCTTTGGCAGCAAAGAAGTTCAGTGTCCATCTGTATCACTTCCATAGGAGCAAACTGCCCACAGTTCCCCAGCATGCAGTTTACCATCTTCTAGACAGTGTCCTTCACTAGAAAAATAAATGAGTAAAAGACCTTGGTCATAGTTTGTAATTCTGATGATATTCAAAGAGTATATTCTTTTATTTGTCCTAGGAACTCATCATGATCATTCCCAAATGACACTGATGGAGAATATTTCAGAGGTTACAGAATTTATTCTTGTGGGGTTAACAGATGTCCCAGAACTGCAGATCCCTTTGTCTATTGTCTTCACTCTCATTTATTTGATCACATTGATTGGGAATCTTGGGATGATCATGCTGATTCTTCTGGATTCCCGACTCCACACTCCCATGTACTTTTTCCTCAGTAACCTTTCCCTGGTGGACTGTGTTTATGCATCAGCAGTCACTCCAAAGGTAATGGTTGGCTTTCTCACAGGAAACAAGATTATATCCTACAATGCATGTGCTGCCCAGATGTTCTTCTTTGTAGCCTTTATTGCTATTGAAAGTTTGATTCTGGCCTCAATGGCTTATGACCGTCATGCAGCAGTGTGTAAACCCCTGCATTACACTACCACTATGACAAGTACCACCTGTATCTTAATTGTCACCTGCTGCTACATGTGTGGAATCTTGCAATCCTCTATCCATGTAGGTCTTGCATTTCATCTTTCTTTCTGTCTTTCTAACATGATTAATCACTTTTTCTGTGACATTCCTCCACTGCTGAACATTTCTTGTTCTGACACCTACACAAATGAGATTACACTCCTTATCTTGGCTACACTGGATGTTGTTTTCACTCTCTTCGTTATCTTGAACACTTACCTGCTTATTTTCATCGCGATTTTAAGGATGCGTTCAGCCGATGCACGGAAAAAGGCCTTCTCTACCTGTGCATCCCACTTTATCACTGTAGCCATTTTCTTTGGGTCACTCATATTCATGTATTTACAGCCCAGCTCTAGTCACTCCATGGAGACAGACAAAATTGCATCTGTGTTTTACACCATGGTTATCCCCATGCTGAACCCTATGGTCTACAGTCTGAGAAACAAAGAGGTCAAAAATGCATTCATGAAAGTTGTTGGAAAAATTAAGTCTTCATTAAACTTAGTCAATTAACTCCAAAGTATTTTTTTGGACATGTGAAATTTTGGACCTTTACCCTTGAGGAATAATTTATTTTTAATTATTTCTTGTCTATGGTTTCTTTAAACAGTTATTTTACAAAGAAAAGGTCTGTCTTCATGCATTGGTAATCGGACTAATTTAGAGTGAATTTGGAGTGTATCTTGCAATAAATGAGATGTCAATTTAATATTGAAATCAATATTATTATGCTAGAGAATTCACATGCAATAATGTTATAAATTATTTTTAGGTCAACCTAATGTATGCATGACAACAGTTACATTTTCAAATGTTTTATATTATCATTATTATTTACTAGTATTTCTTTTTTAGTGTATGATTATATAATTTCCCCTTCTCGGTCTTCCCTCCAAATCATAGCACATACTTCTGCTTCCTCTCTTTTTAATTAATGTCCTTGTTTTTCATTAAATATTAAAGTTAAAAATAACTCCATGATATTTAAATCTGACATAAATTAATTGTCCTCATGTATTTGTGCTATAAATAATTATCTTGAGATTTTGTCCTGCTGAATTTCAAGATCTAACCCCAAATAACTTAATTTCACATGGTTTTGGTGGTACAGATATCTTGAAACTTGAGGTTAAAATAATTTCAGTATCCACTTATGAGTGAGTACATACTATGTTTGTCCTTCTGAGTCTGGGTTACCTCACTCAAGATGATATTTTCTAATTCCATCTATTTGCCTGCAAATTTCATGATATCATTGTTTTTTACTGCTGAGTAGTACTCCATTGTGTATATGTGTCACATTTTCTTTATCCATTCTTCAGTTGAGGGGCATCTAGGTTGTTCCAGGTTTATGCTATTACAAATAATGCTGATATGAACATAATTGAGCATGTGTCCTAGATGTGAGGGAAGGGATAGCCAGACTACAACCTATAGCTCCAGAGAGGCTAGCTAACAGGGAAGGACCCTAGGAGGGACACATGGATGACCCCGTGAAGGAGAAGTGGATGAGATCTACATGAGCGGACTGGGTTGTGTGGGGGTGGTGGCAAAGGGTGAGGAGTTGGGGATGAGAACGTAGAGAAATGGGAGGGTCAAGCTGGAACAGGGACAGAGTGGGATGGCAGGGAGGAAGATACCATGATAGATGAGAACATCATGGGAATAGGAGGAGGCAGGGTGCTGGGGAGGCTCTCAGGATCCACAAGGATGATTCCTACCTTGGTCTGCCGGCAGTGGTCCAGAGGGTGCCTGGACTGGTCTACTCTGGTGACAGGTCTAGCGAATAACCTAGCTGTCATCATAGAGCCTTTGTCCAGTGACTGATCGGGGCAGATGCATAAATCCATGGCCAGGCACCAGACTGAGCTCTGGGAATCCAATTGATGAGAGAGAGGAGGGATTATGCAGGTGAGGGATGTTGAGATCATGATGGGACAACGTGCAGAGATGACTGGCCACACTAGTGGAAGCCCATGAACTGTGGACTGATGGCTGTGGATGCCCCACGGGACTGGACTAGGTTCTCTGGATACAGAAGACAGTTGTGTGGCTCGAACTGTTTGGGGGGCAGCCAGGCTGGGGCATCGGAATCTATCCCTGGTACATGGGCAGGCTTCTGGGCATGGGCAGGCTTCTGGAATTCTGGTGCCTGTGGTATGACGCCTTGCACAGCCTTGGTGCAATGGAAAGGGGCTTGGACCTGCCTAGGCTCAGTGTGCCAGGCTCTGCTGACTCCCCATGGGAGACCTTCATTTGGGGGATGTGGGATGCAGGGTGGCTTGGGAGAGAGGACTGAGGGGGGGATGGAGGAGGGGGGAATCTGTGGGTGTTATGTGGAGAAAATTTCTTAATAAAGAAAAATGAAAAAATTGAAACAAAAACAAAAAAATGAATTTCAATGATGGAGTTTTCATAATTAAGGGGACCATATTATCTAAATCTAATACTGAATTCTAGAGGTCAAATACAGACTTCAGCCAACAAAAATTAATTTATAGGTTAATTAGTGTACTTCATAATTCATATAATCCTAATTTGCAGCATACGAACCCTCTCACCATTTACATACTCTTTTTCTTATAGAAAATACTTATAAAATGATGATAAATATTGAGTGCACTAAAACATCTCTTCATTTCCTGTATTCTAGATAATATTTAACCACATCTAATACCTCTTTTACACAGCAAAATTTTCCATTACTGTGCTTTTGTGGATTTTTTTTTGTAAATATGCTACTGAATCTGAACAACTGAAAGTTTATAACTTGATTATGCAGAAGGAATATTTGATAAGGGATCTCAGTACCAGAGTTAGTGTGGAACTACAGTAATTATGAGCACTGGAACTGATACCCAGAGGAGACTTTGCTTTCCTGATACTAACTGCTCTCTCTCAGTCCTCTTGTCATCTACTAAGCTTGCTGTGTATCATCCTTATTAAATGAATATTCAACAGATAATTAAAATAAAGTAACAAATCAATTAATTATTTAGTTATGAATGACTATAAAAGGGAGTAAATGAGTGGGTGAGTGAGAGGAAGCATAACTGAGACCGAATGAATGAATAAACACAAGATGGTATTCCTTGTTAATAATCACAAGTCTCTGGGGCTGATTATTATATGCACTTCAGGAAGGGACAACTATGAGCTTAGTGGACAATAACCTGTCTTCCTTTACACTCCTGAACTATAAGTTTCCATTAACTATACCATAGAACTTGTCTCTCAACATATCCTTTAACTTGAACCCTGAAACTGTTTCTGTACTTAGGAAAATTAGGGAAAATGATGAGCTTGAGTCAAACCAACACTGACAGTAAGTATCATGATGCTTGCTGCTCATGTGAGAATCTCTTCTGGTGAAAATGTAGAGGAATACGGCCCATCCTTCAACCTTCACCTCCTGTTAGACAGAATGTAACTAGAGGTGATGTGAACTGGCATCCATCTAGGGGATTCAGGTACAGTGCTACATACCGACAAAGAGAATTTTTATTTTTCAAAGATACCTCACATGTGAGGTTGTCAGTCTTGGCAAACCAAATTATAAGTATCCAATGCCTTATCTGAGGAAGTCACACTAGAAACACAAATATCAAGAAAACATCAATGGCTGCCTTATAACCATAATTAAATTATTTCATTGACTCTCCAGTATGAAATCTCTTCCAACTATATTAATACAATAGGTAAAAAAAAGACCTCATAAAAAAAGAGAGCAATATAAGTATTTACTTTGTTGAATTGGCCTGACATTTAATAGGATGATACGTTTGCATCAATAAGCATAATGTTTGCTCTACTGCATGGAAATAAATATAAAACTATTATTTTACCTTTAGAAAAAAATTGGTATTGGCACATGGCTTATCTTTGCCTGTCAACTCCAAGACTACCACAGCATTTTTTTTTCTGCATTTCATGTTGCTGAGCTTTTCAACAGGGCTTTGCAGATAGGTCCATGCCTATCTACCTAAGGATATCACTCTTTGCTCCAAGGATATTTCTTGGTCTAGTTGTTAACCAAAACACTTAACATGTGTTTGACATTGAGACTTCATATACAGACTCATCTCATTTTTGTCTACTTGAGATATTCAAATTGTATGAAGATGAAGGCTTGCTGCTCTTCTCATTATTAGTAAATATAAGCACAAGGTGTTCAGAAATTTCTTCTTATACAAGTATCAACATACAAGAGCCAATGTTTTATATATATATATATATTTTAAAAAAACCTCATATTTGGGATGAAAATAAATTCACAAATACCTGTAGTGCAGAGTACAAAAATCCACACTGGAGAGAGCTGATGCCATTGTGCACTAAACTTTGTGAATAGAACAAGCATATGAGCTCTGACATCCCTGGGAAAAAGGGAGAACAAAAACATGTTCAGGAAGAACAGGTATTGGCTTATATTATTCTAGTTCACAAATAAAAGCTATAAGAAATATATGAGTGCCTGTGTAATTTGTCTCCATAACTAGATCGTCCTATAGTAATAAAGAGAAACGGTGTCATTCACTAGGCAAATTATCAGGGAAAAATCTCTGGAAAAAATTCTCTCTCATCAATATAATACCTATAAATATGTGGAACATTATTCATTAAATTTTTAAAAAAGAATTCCACAAAACTGAATAAAAACCAATTTCAAAATTTAAAAATAACCTCATAAGACCTCTATAGGAAAGACTTCAGTTTCTGATAAGAAAACAATTTTATGATAAGTACTTAATTATATTATTAGGAACCTACAAAAATATGCCTAAGAAACACACAAGTAACACTAGACTGATATCATACTTCTCGTTAAAATTTTACAAGTGAACAGACAATAAAACTTACTCTTAAAATTGACATTTTTTTAGTATTTATATGAATATTTTGTATGTGAATACAATGGATCTAGTCATAACAATCCCTTATCTCCATCCTCCAACTTCGCCAGCCTACCCCAGAACATTCTCCCTCCTAACTTCATGTCTTTATTTCTTTTAATGCACTGGGTATAATTAGTGCTGAGAATATGTACATGTTATGGAGCCATATTGCTAGAAGGTTCTATATAGGATGCTAGGAGAGAACTATTGCTTTCCAAGGGCTGAGGAAAATTAGTCAACCAACTGATTTTTATACCTAGCTAAACTAGAATTCTAATGTGATATTAAATATGATATCTCCAAATATGTGAATATTGGAAGACAGTTTATGTAATACAGGGATTGAATTTCATCAAGATTGAAAAGCATCACTGTATCTAATTTTAGTGTGGAGAAAAGAGAATGGAACATTTTTGCAACTAATATTGCTTTCATAACTTTTTCTCCTCTTTGCATAAGGTGATGATGATGGCAGAGAGAGGTTTTATGAGGGGAAGACCAACCATATGTAAATGTGTATTAGTTTATCCTCTCTCAATAATGACAAATGCAATGGTTTGAATGCAGGTAGTTTATTTTTAAAGTAATAAAAACATAACTCGCTAGAGGTGTGGGACA